TTATTATAATCATAATAAAAAAAGTGCTAAACCCACAAGGGTCATGAATAGCTACAGAGTGAAGGCATATGAAAGGAATATTTTTCTACAGTTATCCCCTAGTAACAGGTGATGGACTAGAGAAAAGTTAATTCTTCCGACATTCCTACAAACCGTTTGGTAAACATCTCATATTTATATAAATTTTTATACTGTGGGTGCATGTATCATGTTTGTGTGTTACATAATGTGTTTCTTATATAATTTTGAAAAAAATATCATAGATTAAGGGAAATGTCTATGTTAACGTAATATGGGACATTTAATGTGCCCAAGAGATTATTATTATTGTATTATTATTATTATTATTATTATTATTATTATTATTATTATTATTATTATTATTATTATTATGGCATCAAGAGTAGAGAAACTCTTAGTGATTTTAATATGTACCTGCATGCCAGCACAGTGTGTAAGTATATTTAGGTACAGGTACACACAAGTTTAATTATCATAGTACATATAAAATATGCAATAACCTTAAAACACTTGAAATTTTGGAAAGTTTCCAGACATAATAAAGAGATGTGCTCAGGGAGAATGTAAACAAACTGGGTGGGCCATGGTGACTGTATTAGAAAGACAGGTGGGGGGAGCTGTATAGCGAGTTTTGGTCATAATTTGAAATGCCCGTATTAGCGGAACGCCCTAAAGCGAAACACCGTAAAGCTGGGCCCTACTGTATAATTATCAGAGTATATATAAAATTTGAAATAACTTATAAAAACACTTGAAATTTTGGAGTTTCCAGACATAATGGAGAGATGTAGTGCTTACAGATCTCAAGTGGAATGTAAACAAACTGGGTGAGGCACGGTGACCATATTAGAAAGTTGGGCGGGGGGCCGTATAGAGAGTTTTGGTCATAATTTGAAATGACCGTATTAGCAAAGGGAACAAAACAGAGGGTAAAAATTATAAGGGAATAAGCCTGTTGAGTATACAGTGGATCCCCGCTTAACGATCACCTCCCAATGCGACCAATTATGTAAGTGTATTTATGTAAGTGCCTTTGTACGTGTATGTTTGGGGTCTGAAATGGACTAATCTACTTCACAATATTCCTTATGGGAACAAATTCGGTCAGTACTGGCACCTGAACATACTTCTGGAATGAAAAAATATCGTTAACCGGGGGTCCACTGTACTTGGTAATGTGTATGGTAGAGTTATTATTAAAGGAATTAAGAGTAATATGGAGATCAGGATCACAGATGAACAAGGAAGCTTTAGGAAGGGTGAAACATATAGGTAAACAGTAGTTAGTTAAGGATAAAGATGTTTTTGTTGCATTTAGGGATTTGGAAAAGGCATATGATAGGGTGGATAGGGGGGCAATGTGGCAGGTGTTGCAAATGTATGGAATAGGTGGTAGGTTACTGAAAGCAGGTATGAGTTTTTACAAGGATAGTGAGGCTCGGGTTAGAGTATGTAGGAGAGAGTAAGATTATTTTTCAGTAAAAGTAGGCCTTAGACAGAGATGCATGATGTCACCATGATTGTTCAGTATATTTACAGATGGAGTTGTGAGAGAAGCAAATGCTCAGGTGTTGGCAAGAGGTGTGGGGTTATAAGAAAAAGAATCTAACACAAAGTGGGAGTTGTCACAGTTGCTTTTTGCTGATGACACTCTTCTCTTGGGAGATTCTGAAGAGAAGTTGCAGAGGTTGATGAACAAGTTTGGAAGGGTATGTGAAAGAAATTAAAAGCGAACATAGGAAAGAACAAAGTGATGAGGATGGCAAAAAATTTAAGTAATGAAAGACTGGAGTGAGTATGGAGGAGGCTAATGTATTCACATATTTGGGAGTGGGCTTACCAGCAGATATGTCTGTGAAAGATGAGGTGAATCATAGAATTGATGAAGGGAAAAGGGTGAGTGGAACACTGAGCAGTCTGTGGAGACAACGACAAGGGGAAGGTATAAGAGTATAGTGGTACAAACACTTACATGGGTTAGAATCATGGGTTGTGAATGTTGCAACAAGGAGAAGGCTGGAGGCAGAAGAGATTTCATGTCTGAGGGTGATGTGTGGTGTGAATATAATGTAGAGAATCCGTTGCTTGGAGATTAGAAGGGGCTGGGTTTTTTAAAAGTATTATCCAGAGGGTAGAGGATGGGTTTTTGATGCGATTTGAATATTTAGAGGATGGAACAAAATAGAATGACTTGGAGAATATATAAATCTGTAATGAAAGGAAGGCAGGATAGGGGTTGTCCTAGGAAAGGTTGGAGGGAGAAGGTATAGGAGGTTTTGTGTGCAAGGGGTTTGGACTTCCAGCAAGCATGCATGAGCGTGTTAGATAGGAACGAGTAGAGACAAGTGGTTTTCACGACTTGACATGCTGTAAGTGTGAGTAATGTAACATTTATGAAGGGATTCAAGGAAACTGGTTAGCTGGACTTGAGTCTTGGAGGTGGGAAGTACAGTGCCTGTACTTTAAAGGATATTAGATGTTAAGAGGGTAATCTAAATTGTCTTACCTGCATGTGTCTACCAAGGCAGCGATAATGTGAATGATGGTGAAAGTTTTTCTTTTTCGGGTCACCCGGCCTCATATTTAACCCTCTCCGAGACTTGTTCTCAGGGTCGGCCAAAATTAAAAAAAAAATTATTTTTTCCTGTGAAAAGATAGAGAATCTTTTCCCGATCATAATGACACCAAAAGTATGAAATTTGATAAAAAACTTAGGGAATTATGCTCTCGCGAAGTTAGCGGTCTCGACGATGTTTACGCATCGGCGATTTTGCCCACTTTGAGCCCTATTTTTCGGCCAATTCCAGTGAACTAGCCGACAAAAATCATAACTATTTCTCTAGAACTCCATTTTTTTCTGTTGAATGAGTACAAGAAACCACCCATTTACTGATTACAACTATCCAATACAGTGGTCAGAATCTATCAATTTTACCAATTTCACACAAATTTCAAAAGATGCCAATTTCCAAATAGGGTCCAGAATAAACAAGAAAGACATTCCTGGCACTAAAATAACATTTCCTCTGTTCGTTAGTCACATCCCCAGGCCCCTCTTATATTTCTTTGGCTTTCCACTTTCAATTTTTATTCTTACAAAAAATAGAAGATTTACTGTTATGCAGACTGCTGCATTAGTGTAGAAATGGTATAAATAATACCAGCGCACTTGTGAAAGAATATTAGACTCACCAGTTGACGTGTATTGGACACTTGGCATGATTTGTTTACTTTTGAACTTTGGTAAAAATCGAACATTTCTGCTACTTTGAGCTCAATTTCAAGGTACTTTTCATTGTAAAACCAGTCAAAATTATCTCAATTTCTGTAATATGTCTTCCATTCTATAAAATGAGACCAAGAAAACTAGGATACAACAATAAATACCATACGAAAATACAGTGCAAAGTCGCTGTTTTATTCCAAAAACAATGTCAAAGTTTTTTTTTTTTCTCATTATGCACTGTGTGCTGCAGGATTTTTTTTTATACTGCTCACACTGACCACATAGACCCATTCTTTCATATGTATGCCTACCAGCTTTCTCCCACTAGATTTGAGGGCGCTAGAATTTAGGCGTACTAGTACGTCAAAAGCCCTTAATGGACAGACTTCCGTCTGTTCATTAAGTATGAATAATGAGATTGTGTTGCCTTGATTGTAACAATAACAGATATTTCTGGAAACCAAAGTACCCAGCAGAACATAACAGTTTAGAATTCTGGAAAAACACACCTTGTCCATTGTTCCCAAAATCTGTTTACCCAGCAGATTGTAACAGTAACAATTCTGGAAACAATGGACTTTGTTGTTTTTGGATTTTTTTTTTTATTATTTTTTCAGCTCTTTTTTTTTCAGGGTGCAACTGTGGTTTCTAGTTCTCCCTGTTGTATGACTGTTGATGACTGAGTTTTGTTGAAACTCTGAAGGAACTGGAGTGCTACAGTATAACAGCTCAGAGTCCTAAAGATGTATTATTTAGTAGACTGCATGCCTGGCTTCTTTCAACAAACCAGCCATATCCCACTGAGGCAGGGTGGCTCAAAAGGAAAAACAAAAGTTTCTCCTTTTAAATTTAGTAATATGCAGCCTCTACTCACTTAATGATGGAGTTCTGTTCCTAATACCGCATCGGTAAACAAATTCATTGCTAAATGAAGAGCATACTATAATGGTCAGTCATCTTTGATATTGCTTTAATGTCACCCTTGCACCATTTGTAACATTTTTAGTATATTTCTAAATGTAATATTCCAAGTCGTCGGTAAACGAGTATGTCGCTAAGTGAGGAGAGGCTGTATATAGAAGGGGTTCCTAGCCCCTTGCTCCTGGCATTTTAGTTGCCTCTTATGACATGCATAGCTTAAAGAATTCTGTTTCACTTCCCCATGGATGTACGAGGAAATAAACAAGAACAAAAACTAGTAAGAAAATAGAAGAAAACCCAGAGGAGTGTGTATATATATATGCTTGTACATGCAAGTGTAGTGTGACCTAAGTGCAAGTAAAAGTAGCAAGATGTACCTGAAATCTTGCCTGTTTATGAGACAGAAAAAAGACACCAGCAATCCTGCCATCATGTAAAACAATTACAGGCTTCTGTTTTACACTCACTTGGCAGGATGGTAGTACCTCCCTGGGTGGTTGCTGTCTACCAATCTACTACCTAGATGACTGGCTTGTATGTTTATCATATTTAAAGCTTTGAATAAGGAATGCATGTTATTCAAAACTAGACTTGACACTGTTTTGATTTCTGACTTGTTGTATGATGATCATGTTAAGATAGTTTGTGTTGATCCTCTTGCACAGGCACCATACATGAGAAACTGATAGCAAAATTAGTAGTACAAGGTACATACATAGAGAATCTTTGCATGTTTACCAACTGTTTTATGAGACTATTTAATATGTGCAAGATGTTTCTTTTTAATTTTCAGATCCTGAAGCTATAATAATAATGTATTTACTTATTGCAGAGTGAAAATCCATGCCTTGTTTTAAATAAGCAAGCTCCTTCCGGCATCCTGCATGGACAAGCTCTTGGTGTATACAAGAATTCACTTTTGGAGTACACTTATAATAATCTCCATGACATTTTAATGGTAAGCTAAAACTTTTAAAGAATTACAGTACAGTGGACCCTCTATTATCGTAAGGCTCGAAAGTCATAATTTTCGGAAATCGTGAATTTTTTTCGTCAAAACATTGACTTGTAAATTGTCGTTTGACTCGCAAATAGTCGTTTGCCCTGGACGCGTACTCACGGCCCCGAGTCACCTCGCACTCCCTTCCTAGCCAGTGTGGCATTGTTTACCAGTGAGTGACAGTCCCCTTTGTTGTTCATACGAAATCTTTCATGATACAGTGGACCCTCGGCTAATGAACGCATCGTATAACGTTAAATCCGCCTAACGAAGCGTTTGAGCATAAAAAAATTTGGCCCGCCTAACGATAAAAAATTCGCCCAACGTGATTTGTCCAGGACACGTCCATGTGTGGCCTGAGCATGCCTCGGCTGCCTCGTGGGTGCCAGTGTTTACAAGCCAGCCAGTGCAGTCGCATCTCCGCATACTTCTTTCTTTCAACACTCCGGCCATATCCCACCGAGGCGGGGTGGCCCAAAAGGAACAATGAAAGTTTCACCTTTTACATTTAGTAATATATACAGGAGAAGGGGTTACTAGCCCCTTGCTCCCGGCATTTTAGTCGCCTCTTGCAACACGCATGGGTTATGGAGGAAGAATTCTGTTCCACTTCCCCATGGAGGTAAGAGGAAATAAACAAGAACAAGAACTAGTAAGAAAATAGAAGAAAACCCAGAGGGGTGTGTATATATATGCTTGTACATGTATGTGTAGTGTGACCTAAGTGTAAGCAGAAGTATCAAGATGTACCTGAAATCTTTAATATTTATGAGACAGAAAAATGGACACCAGCAATCCTACCATCATGTAAAACAATTACAGGCTTTCGTTTTACACTCACTTGGCAGGACGGTAGTACCTCCCTGGGCGGTTGCTGTCTACCAACCTACTACCTAGAATCTACGCATACATTCGGTACATTTCACATTATCCCAGTGTTTTTAGTGCTTGTAACTGCAAAATAAGTCACCATGGGCCCCAAGAAAGCTTCTAGTGCCAACCCTGTGGTAAAAAGGGTGAGAATTAGTATGGAATTGAAAAAAGAGATTAAGGAAATGTGTGCAAAGTGGGTTGAACTGCAAACCTTTATGGATGAAAATCACCCTAACACAGCTATTGCAAGCCGTGCTGGTGACTATTAGAATGACAATGTTGTGGCCCATTTTAGGCAAATCTGAAAGGAACGTGAGGTACAGAGCTCTATGGACAGATTTATTGTGCAACAGAGGTCCAGTGACTCTCAAGCTGGTCCTAGTGGCATTAAAAGAAGAAGGGAAGTAACCCCGGAAAAGGACTTGCTACCTCAAGTCCTCATGGAAGGGGATTTCCCTTCCAAAAAATAATAAACTGCCATCTCCATTCCTCCCATCCCATCAATCATCACCAGATCTTCAAAAAAGGTAAGTGTCATGTATTCTTTATTTAGTACAGTAGTAATTGTGCATGTCCTCTTCTTTTTGGGTGTAGGAAAATTTATGTTTCATGTGGTAATTTTTTTTTTTTCATACTTTGAGGTGTCAGGAACGGGTTAATTTGATTTCCATTATTTCTTATGGGGAAAATTAATTCGGCTAACGATGAGCTCTCAGGAACGGAATAATATTGTTAGGCGAGGGTCTACTGTATTATATTCATTTTAGTGCTTGCAACTACTAAATAAGCTACCATGGCTCCAAAGGAAGCTCCTAACGACATGCCTTTGGTAAAGAAGGTGAGAAATATGATTGAATTTAAGAAAAATATCATTGAACAATATGAAAGTGGGGTACATGTGGCCAAACTGGCCAGGATGTATAAGAAACCCCATACAACCAAAGAAAAACAAAAGTTTCTCTTTTTTAAATTTAGTGATTTATACAGGAGAAAGGGTTACTAGCCCCTTGCTCCCGGCATTTTAGTCGCCTCTTACAACACGCATGGCTTACGGAGGAAGAATTCTGTTCCACTTCCCCATGGAGATAAGAGGAAATAAACAAGAACAAGAACTAGAAAGAAAATAGCAGAAAACCCAGAGGGGTTTGTGTATATACATGTATATGCTTGTACATGCATGTGTAGTGTGACCTAAGTGTAAGTAGGAGTAGCAAGACGTACCTGAAATCTAGCATGTTTATGAGACAGAAAAATGGACACCAGTAATCCTAACATGATGTAAAACAATTACAGGCTTTCGTTTTACACTCACTTGGCAGGACGGTACGTAGTACCTCCCTGGGCGGTTGCTGTGTACCAACCTACTACCTAGGAAAGGGGGTAAATATGCTGACAAAAATGAGATCGCCACTACTTGAAGATGTTGAGAGGTTATTGTTGGTATGGATCAATGAGAAACAATTAGCAGGAGATAGTCTTATGCAGTCGCTTATTTGTGAAAAGGCTAGGCAGTTGCATGACGATCTCGTAAAAAATTTGCCTGCAATGAGTACTGATATTTGTGAATTTAAGGCCAGCAAAGGCTGGTTTGAGAGATTTAAGAACCATAGTGGCATCCACAGTGTAATAAGGCACGGCGAGGCTGCCAGTTTGGACAAAATTACAGCTACAAAATTTGTAAGTGAATTCAAGGAGTACATACAGACTGAACAATTAAAACCACAACAAGTGTTCAATTGTGACAAAACAGGCCTCTTTTGGAAGAAAATGCCAAAGAGGACCTACATTACTCAGGAGGAAAAGGGACTGCCAGGACACAAGCCTATGAAAGACAGGCTTACTCTCATGTTTTGTGGTAATGCTAGTGGGGATTTCAAAGTGAAGCCTTTGCTAGTGTACCATTCTGAAAATCCCAGAGCATTCAAGAAAAACAGTGTTATGAAGAGTAAATTGTGTGTGTTTTGGAAAGCTAATAAGGCATGGGTCACAAGGGAAATTTTCTTCGAGTGGTTCAATGAAGTGTTTGGCCCCAGTGTGAAGAATTACCTGGAAAATAAATTTGATCTCAAGTGCCTCCAGCTAATGGGCAATGCACCTGCTCATCCTCCAAACTTGGATGACCTAATTCTGGAGGAGTATGGGTTCATCACAGTAAAGTTCTTGCCCCCTATTACCACTCCTCTCCTCCAACCCATGGACCAGCAGGTCATTTCAAACTTTAAAAAACTCTACACCAAAGCAATGTTTCAAAGGTGCTTTAATGTGACCTCAGATGCTCACTTGACCCTAAGAGAGTTTTGGAAAGATCACTTCAGTATCCTCCATTGCATAAGCCTTATAGGTAAAGCTTTGGAGGGAGTGACTAGCAGGACTTTGAAATCTGCTTGGAAAAAATTGTGGCCAAATTGTGTCCACAAGAGGGATTTTGAAGGGTTTAGTGCTGACCCTGACGAGCCTATGGCAGTTCTGGAATCTGTTGTGGCATTGGGGAGTTCCATGGGGTTGGATGTGAGTTTGGAGGATGCGGAAGAGTTGGTGGAGGACCACAATGAAGAGCTAACCACTGAGGAGCTGCAAGAGCTTCAGCTGGAACAGCAACAGACTGCAGTTCAGAATATTGCTGCAGAGGAGGAGGAAGAGAGATGGAAGAAGTTGCCTTCTTCAGAAATTAAGGAGATTTTTGAAATGTGGAGTAAAATGGAAAGATTTATGGAGAAACATCACCCTGACAAGGCTGTTGCAAGCCATGTCGGCAACATGTACAGTGACAAAGTCTTGGCCCATTTCAGGGAAATTTTAGAGATGCCAGAAACAGAGCTCTCTGGACACTTCTTTTGCGAGACAAGGCTCCAGTGACTCAAGCTGGTTCTAGTGACATTAAGAAACAGAGAAGAGAAGTGACCCCAGAAAAGGACTTGGTACCTAAGGTCTTGACAGAAGGGGATTCCCCTTCCAAACAGTAAATAATCTAATCTCTCTCCTCCTCCAGTCTTCCATACACTAAGAAGAATCGCCAGTAAAGGTATGTGTTTTGCTGTTAATGTTTCATTCATCATGTCCCATTGTATTGTGTATGTACTACATCTATATTTCATGTTAAAAAAATTTTTGTTTTAAAACTTCTGGGTGTCTGGAATGGATTAATTGTATTTACATTATTTCTTATGGGGAAAATGGTTTCGAAAATCGTCAATTTCGGAAATAGTCACACTTTCTGGAACGGATTAATTACGAAAAACAAGGGTCTAATTAATATATACAGTGGACCCCGCATACCGGACGCATCGCATACCGTACAATCCGCATACCGGATGCTTTGATCGCAAAAATTTTGCCTCGCATACCGCCCAAAAACCCGCTCACCGCCCTTCGTCCGAGACGCGTCCAGTGTGCGGCCTGAGCCACGCTCACATGTTCCGCCGGTGGCATTGTTTACCAGCCAGCTTCCGCGGTAACATCCAAGCATACAATCGGAACATTTCGTATTATTACAGTGTTTTTGGTGATTTTTTCTGGAAAATAAGCGACCATGGGCCCCAAGAAAGCTTCTAGTGCCAACCCTACAGCAATAAGGGTGAGAATTACTATGGAGATGAAGAAAAAGATCATTGATAAGTATGAAAGTGGAGTGCGTGTCTCCGAGCTGGCCAGGTTGTATAATAAACCCCAATCAACCATCGCTACTATTGGTGGTACAGCTGCTGCTGTACCACCGTCAGCTGCTGCTGCACTGTCAGCTGCTGCTGCACTGTCAGCTGCTGCTGCTGTACCACCGTCAGCTGCTGCTGCTGCTGTAGTACCGTCTGCTGCTGCTGTAGCATCGTCTGCTGCTGCTGTAGCATCATCTGCTGCTGCTGTAGCATCGTCTGCTGCTGCTGTAGCATCGTCTGCTGCTGCTGTAGCATCGTCTGCTGCTGCTGTAGCATCGTCTGCTGCTGCTGCAGCATCGTCTGCTGCTGCTGTAGCATCGTCTGTTGCTGCTGTAGCATCGTCTGTTGCTGCTGTACCACCGTCAGCTGCTGCTGCTGCTGTAGCACCGTTGTTGGTGTGGCTTATTGAGAATACCAAGAAACAATTAACCCCAG